AGGGAGCTTGAAGTTTGAGGAGAGAATTGAAGCTTGAAGAATACTGAAGCTTAGAAAATAAACGAAAGTCTAACATTATCTCATCATCGATTGATGGCAAGTACTGTTGGTCACCACTCACCAGCTATCGTTGATTATCATCGGCCACTGTCCACTTCTTACGCCAAAATTATTTGTGCACCAACATTGCAGCTCTAAAGAATGTGTAATTCTTTTTTATATGTGAGACGAGAGGTTGCACTTGTAATATTCAATTTATAATGGATCTTTTTCAGTTGAGCTTAACACCATGGCTTTTCCCGTTTACAGGGTTTTTATGTAAAAACTTCCAGTGTTTATAAAAATTGTTTTTCTTTTATCAAAGTGTGTGTAAAATTTTCTTGGATACTAAGACAATAATCTATTATTATACCACTGTGAATCTTCTAGCACTCATCAAGTAGAAAAAGTAAATGTATTAAAAAGAGTCACTTTTGTAGCATGCAAGAATTTTCATGGTTGCAGGGTACTAGCATTTATAAATTTAGCGTAACACAAGATTTTACACATATAAAAAAAAGATTATACAACATATGAGACAACTGTATTGAGTGGTTTGACAGTAATGGTGCTCTGGTGATGATAATAACTAAGTGGTGATAATTCGATAGTGATGACAGAGATCCATACATAAATGATTCACTGACAATGACATGTAACACCATGGTCCAATGACATATGACATCTAAGTGCTAAAAAAAAATGATGTTTATTTAACTTAGTTTTAGTTTTAATTCTGAAATGTAAAGATATTTTTTGGTTGACATAACTTTATTTAGTGCCAAAAATAGGAACCGTGACTCTCATTTAAAGATGGGCCAAGCCAACCTTTGGGCCCATCACTTATTTCGTGTATGAGTGGATTAAAGTACAGTCCTCCCTTCCTTTGCAAGCAAAAATCCAGCTGCAATTGGATTCCTGAGATAACAGGAGACCTTTGCTTGGCCCTCCTCCTTCCTCCCATAGCTCCGCCTCCACAGGCGGACGTCGATCTCCCATCGGAGCTCCGATTTGTATTACCAAGAGTTTTTGGACTTATTGGAAGTTATTGGGATTTGCGATGAGGAAGAGGGAGAGAGAAAACCCCTGCGGCGTTTGCGGTCACTACCACCGGTACGAGGAGGGGGAGGTTTGTGGAATCTGCGGCCATCGGATGCCGGCGTCGGACGATAAGACAATCCAGTACGCGAGCGCTTTTCCGACGGAGATTTTGAAGGATTTTCTCTATCTTGGGAGCTACGACAACGCATCAAGAGGGGAGTTGTTGAAGACTCTGGGGATCTCCCGCATTCTTAATGTAAACCCTGCGAATTAGTACTATTTTGCAACTGCAATAGAGTTTATTGAGTTTAGATTGGGGAATATTTTTTGCTTATTTGCTATCTTATGGAAATCGCAATTTTCTCTCTTCCATTTTTTAGAAGAACTTATTTTGTTGTTATTGGCAAATTCTCCTAACTTCTCGTTTTACTTGCCGTTATTGGAAGGTCGTGCCCTAACTTTAGATAGAATAACTTATCAGAGTCTGAATTTCTCTGACTCTTCCTGTGATTTGTAGGAGTATTTGCTTTCTATTTATTGCCCGTGTAATTTAATAAGTTTGGTATTGGTGTAAATCTAGAACCAAGATCTAGTATGTGTCCTGAACTAAATTTTGTGCAGTAGTTGTGAATTAAGCAAAATTCGACTGTTGGAGCTTTGTTTTTTGTTCGGTATGTTGAATTTATTCTTTAATATTATTTTCTGTGTTACAAATTTGACTTATATGGAACATCTACTTGTAGATATTTATAGTTTAGGTTTGAACAAAGTCTTTGCAACAACTCGTGTAACCTTAGGTTCCATGATGTCCCTTTATCAGCATCATTGGCCAAACCCTAACTATTCAGGTTTAGCTTTACAAATCCTCAATCCTTATTTATTACTGATGTGTTTTGGGTGAGGTCTAAATCTATTTTATAGGTTTTTTGGTTTGCACAAATTATCTTTATTCATGATACCTTAATTTCATTTTGAGTAAGATTTGCACATCCTTCATTTGATAGCACTTATTATTCAACGCAAAGTCAGAAGTAAACTCGATTTCATGTTGTTTAACAATCCAAAAATGTTACATTTGCTCTATCACTTATTTTTTAACACTCAAACTAATTCTATCAAGTCATATTATTAGAGCATTTTCTATGTGTTGGCGTAAATATCCAAACCACATAAGCTTACGTTTTACTATCATATGTTCAATAAGTGCTGCTACTTCCAAGGTATATTTATGTAATTATTTTACACTTTACCATGCATAGTTATCCCTATACTTCTATCTTAATATTTTTGTTTATGCTATATTTAGCTTGATTGCTAGAAACTTCTTTCTTTTCTAGATCATGGATCCCTATGGCATAGTTGGTCTAATTGCCTTTGATACAATTTACCTTTAAATCTCCTTATATCACGGATCAAGCAGTACTTATGTTTATTTCTTCATTCTAACCATGTATTTGTAACTCTAGATTATATGTTCTCTTGCGTGCTAACATACTATTTTACAATAGATCTAAGTGATGTTATAGTAGGCATCACTTTATTTTTCATTCTAACCATGTATTTATAACTCTAGATTATATGTTCTCTTGCTGGCTAACATACTATTTTACAGTAGATCTAAGTGATGTTATAGTAGGCATCACTTTATGGGTTTATTATTATTTCTTCATTAGTTGTTCATGTTTATTTTGAGTTTGAGCCGAACTTACACATGTGTTCATACTCGTATTCTTAATTTTTTTTATTATCATACTTGGTTTGTACTTAGAGTTATTTATATTAATTGAACATGTTGAAGATTCAAATGATCATATGACTTTTAATATAAAAAATTGATTTGTATTTCATTTTTCATATAAAATTAATGAAAAAGCTAAAAATGTGAATGAATAATTGATTTTTTTATACAAAATTATCAACACATATTTTTATAAATCTAAATTAGTATTTAACTAGTCCATATCAAGTAAATAAAATAATATATAAATTATAAGCTTTTGTGTACTCAAATAACATAAATAACTTATAATAAATTAATTCATTAAAATAAAAAAAAATAAATTGCATTAAATTTATATGCATACTGATATTAAATTATAATATATTTATATTAAATATTTAATTAAGTTTTAGTTAGTAAAATTTTATTTAAATAATAAATTATATGTGTAGAGCATTTAAAATTTATTTATTGAAAAAAATGAGTTTGTTCATTAACAAATATGTTGGGCCATATTCAAATTTGGTTCATTTAACCTTCAAGTTTATAAAAAGGTTCAAATTTGCGTATTTATTGATTTGAACAAACATGATCGAGTATTAAGTTTTTACGCTCATAAAATCTCATCATATAATATCCTCGATTCTTCTATCTTGCAAGGAGCCCTTTCCCTTTAGCAAGGGATGGATGCAACAGCCAATATACATAATCATGTCAATGATTAGTCATGTTTATAAATAACTATATATTTTTACATACTGACATATCTGAATATGTTTGGAGTTATAAATCACTCCATGCAATAAGTATAAATCCTACGGTCTTTGTCAGATGCAAACATCTGCTTTATGATATAGATACTAGAAGTAACATGCTTTTAATATGTTACAATGTGAAGCATCAATACAATTAATGGCTGTCAAAAGATGAATATTGGGTCTAGGGACATGGAAATGCTTGCTATTCGATTCATGTTTGGAGTGGAGTTAGATGCATGAATGAATATAAATACTACATAATTCACTTTTCTTTATTATTTTAGCATACTATAGCAAGTCTTCTTTTTATTGTTTTGATTGATATTAGTATGCATATCAATGAAAAAATTGATGAATTTCTATTTATCAACCCTAGTCTAGTAACATTGATGCAATGGTTAGACTGTTGAAAGAATGGACCTTGATTTATAACTTTGATCCTTCTGATTGCACCAAACGAGTATAGCTATGCTGGGTGAGATTAGCTAGATGGTCGAGGTTTTGTATTGAGGTGGCATGCTTAGGAGAAACCTTGGGTCAACTTCATTCTCGATGCAAGGAAGTCTACGATATAATTGATCCTAACTTGACCCCAGTGAAATAAATATCATTATATGAAGGTAATGAAGACTATGGATAAATCAAAAAGATGAATCAATGATTATAGTTGACGACAATAGATGGTTAAAATATTGAAGAGACCTCTGTGTTGCTTTATAGTTCTAAAATAATTCTCGAGATAATTTGAACTTCTAATTTGGACATATAAAATGAACGAATGGGATTTTAATGAAATCAACATGCAGTTAGGCTTATATTTTACTGAGGAACTGGCGTATTTCAAGCTCGAAAAACCATATTTGCTTTGTACTAGTTCCATCCATTCTAATTTGTACATATGTATGTTAATCCAAAGGTAAAAACTTTTTTTTTTAGAAATTAATGATTGTTCTAGATGTTGTTGAGATATAAGTTTTCTGCACGGCCAAAACCATCAAAGAGGATCTAGCCGAATTTTGGCTTATATTATGCTAATATTATGACATGGCGGACCACCCATTATAAAACCTTAATTAAAACCCCTTGGATGATATGTGAGAAAAGGAAATAACTATTTAGCAACCAGTAAATCCATCTGATGTTATGAATCACTATGAGGAAAAATACTTAACGGGCAAAGGTTGGAAGATGGTTAAGGAAAATTTTCCTAGAGCCAATGGATCAAAAGCTTGCTAAGCTTGCCAGTACCTGAGATTTTTATGAATTTATGAATAGTTTGGAATGTTATCCAATTCTGAAATTGACTTCACTGAGAATATTAACTATATTTTTGCCAAGTTCAGGTCTTTGCTCTAACTTTCACCAGCCTAATCGATACTTTGGAGATTGAAATAGAAGAAGAGATTGAGTTTAGCTAATATGCTTGAATGCACTAAATATGTGCTCTATAAATGGGCTTTCTACTAAGGCGTAGTAGAAATATTATAAATATAGGTTTTGAAAATGAAGTTTTAGATTGGGATGAGTATGAATAGGAAGAGTGACATTCTACTGAAGATAACGAGGTGAGAAAGACAAATCTAGATCACCATATTGTATAAATGTTTTGTGGACTACTTGCATAACACTATGTATTGTTATTGCCTGTAAGAATCTTTTAATAAATCAACCTTGTACTAATCAAAGCATTTGAATGAATATTGTTATGCTACATTTGGCAAGATAATTATAATGAGGGAGATAAAACTTTTCTAGTTTGCTAGATGGTAATGGGACCCCATTATCAGAGAACATTTTAATGAGAGAATTTACTATTGGGGAGTTTTATAGGCGTAAAATTCTAGAGTTAAGGAAGGTTGAGATCTAATTATAGCCAAGGATTGGATACTATGACTAGAAAAGACAATGTATACCACAATGCATAAAAGAATTAAAAGTGGAATTTGCTATGTGCACTTGGAAGAGAGGCTGATTGATTGTCAACATAATAAATAAAGACAAAGTTTGTCAACAACGAAAGGTTATCTTGTTAACTTTTGGTATTGCAGGCATTCCTTAAGCGGTATCAAGATAAAAAAAGGAATTGCGTTCCTTTGGTTATACAGGGAAAATATTTTTTGGTTTGAATATTAGATCAAGCTCAAGAACTATTGCTATTCACTTCTCAATTCATATTCGTTAATGGGGATATAACTAATAAAATATATTTTCAAAAAAAGCGCAATGTCTGTTATCAGGTGGGTATTCTCCAAGTAAAGAGCTAACAGTGAGTTGGAGCAGATGGCTTTAATCAAAGAATAATGTACGAAGATAAGAATGGACCATTATCAGCAGAATTGTTTTAACCTTCGATACTACCTTAAATAATGATATTAGGGGCAAAATCTCAATTCTTTCTATGGGAGTAAGTGTCATATCAATCAGTTTCTACTTGGCACACGAATTGCTTCTGAAGGCATCCCACAAAATTGCTTCATGTTGAACGTGCTATGCTTTGGGTACGGGAGCTTTGATTACCTAGAAACTAACCACCTAAAATAATAATAAATTGACTCATTAAGGTGCCAAGTATTCCCAAGCAAAATTTACTAAGCCCTTGGCTATTAACTCATGTTTTTGCATTAATGGGGAAGGGCAAAGTTTCAATGCCATGGCAACGAACGCGATTTCTTCTAGAAAATTTAATGCAAGCTCTCCTTGATTTTGGGTTAATGCATATATTCATATTGATGAATTTGATAACAAGCCCAATTTTAAAGCCCAAACTTTATTGCCTAT